ACCGCGTCTCAATATAGTTGTTAAACGTGATATTTAATTAATCTTGTCTCTATCTAACAACTCTTGTGTCTTTTCAATCTATCAGGTAATGTATCACAGCGTCAGTACACTGCTTCAATCTTCGCTTTCAATTTTAGCAAATTTTAGCGAAAACCTTAGATACGGTTGGTTGGTTGGTTTCTGTTGGTTGTGCACCTTTTTTTACCAACCAAGTATGTCGATGCCATTATAATGACACAGATCACTCTGCCTATTCATGCCAGAGTTCCGCTGCAAAAGTGATTGACAGGTGGTAATTTGTGTGTAACTTATGTTTTAGTGATGGGTAAAATAAAGACCATGCGGGTCAGGTTGTTGAAAAGGTAGGCTACAAATAATTAATTCGTTATGAATTAATTAAATATTCTTAAATAACTAATTCACCACCACCTACAACGACAATGCCATAGTCCATTGCAATGTTTCACATTAGACATTATACGATGCCAAATTGGTCAACATCGCCCAACCCTAGCTTATTTAGCAAGCCAAGGGTCTTATTGGGGTTGGATCTCAAACCTACAGGACACCGGACCTCTAGGACTGACATTTAGAACATCATGATTTATTAATAAGAAATTTAAAGGAACATTAGATAGTGTATTAGAAGAAACAGTACTGCCTGAAATGTATCATATCATGTAACCTCTCAACAGGTTTCAACCAGAAATATGACAGTAAAGCAGCTTTGTAAAAAACACATCATGTAACAGATTATGTTTATCTCAAGAAGGCCATTTAGTATCCAGAACTAGTTAATTAGCAAGAACAAATATAATTAAATATGATCATTTTGATGAATCTATATAAAATATAAATACAAATAAATACATATATCTAATATATATACATATATACATATATATATATATATATATATATATTATATATATATATCTTTTAGTTGTCCTAAACTTGACATTCCTAAGTTTCAAATAAATGCTAAACTTTCTAATCATTCAAGAATCCTGAACAAAACCCACATGATTTCCAGAAACATTTTAATCTATTAAGAAATAATACACTGAAGTAATGACTACTAAAAATTCATCATAGTAATATATTACATTTTATTATATATCCAGATTGAAAACGTATATTAAACTCTACTAACATTCCACACAAAATTCCTAATTGTATTTGTATGTCATTTTAAAACAGTTAAATTAGCATCTTTTGTCTTCTTTAGTCAGTAACTCTATTGACTTTTCTGCTCCAAACTATCCAAAAACAGTGCAGATGGTCATAACTGCCCCTTTAGATTAACCTACTTCTTTCTCCAGTGGTCTGCCGTATTGTCCTCCTCAACAACACTTCCAGAATCTTTAATTACTCTCGGTTGTTACCATGTTGTTTCCGGTCAATTCAGGCCCTTGTTTTGATGACAGTAACTGATAGTCCTGCTTGTGAGTTTAGGATTGATGCGTGTGGCTTGTTTGACACTCGTTTGCCGGGTTTGCTTGCGCAGACGAAAAAAGAGTGGAAATCAATGCTGTGTGTTTACGATGGAGCCAGTGTGCTGTAATTGGGCCTAGTTGAGCTGTACTGTATGAGCCGGAGAGTTTAAAGGGAGTGAGGAAACATTCACACTCTCCTGCCGAGACAACAGACCATCCTTGCACAGCTGAACAGCATGAGGAAAGCAAACAAAGGTGGAACAAACTCGAGACTTGGACAATACTTGAAATACAGCTCATTTAGTGTGAGCAATGTTTCTTTGCCAGCATCAGTTGGCAAGTAAGCTGGACCTGAACTTTTCAAAGCTGATTTTTGCTGAGAAATCTGCCGAATCCTTTGAGAGTTTGTTGTAGATAATGTGTAAAATGTGTGAAATGACAATTTGAATGTGAGATATCCTTATTAAGAGCTGAAAGTTCAAATTCTCTACACTATTTAAGCTTCTTTGTTCATTATTAATCATTTATTTAATTTATGATTATTTAATCATTAATATTTTTTTATTATATTTTAATAACAAATAAATCTAACAACAGATAGCATAACAGATACATTCATATTTGATGGAATAATATAGACATTTTAAAATAATCTAATATACGGTTGACACCAAAAATTTACATACACTTTAAAAAAAGGAACATGACCATTAAAAAAATAAATCATACTAAACATTTATCATTTATCTGATGATAAATCATACTAAACATTTTCTATTTTAGGTCCGTTAGGATTACCTAAATGATTTACATTTGCTAAATGCCAGAATAATGAGAGAATTAGTTTTTTTTATTAATTTCTAGACAGTCTAAAGTTTACATACATTTGCTTGGTATTTTTTTTTTACTTTGTATTTAAACTGTATAACTTTGGTTAAATGCTTTGAGTATCCTTCCACAAGCTTCTCACAATAGTTTAAAGGAATTTTGGCCCATTCCTCCAGACAGAATTGGTGTAACTGAGTCAGATTTGTTGGCTGCCTTGCTAGCAAGAGCTTTTTCAACTCTGTCCACAAATTTCTATAGGATTGAGATCAGGGCTTCGTGATGGCCTCTTCAAAACATTCACTCTGTTGTCCTTAAAGCACATTTTAAGTAATTGGGCAGTATACTCACGGTCATGGTCTGTTTGGAAGACCCATTTGTGACCAAGTTTTAATTTCCTGGCTGATGTCTTGAGATGTTGCTTCAGTATTTCTACATAATGTTCTTTCTTCATGATGCCATCTATGCTGTGAAATGGACCAGTCCCTTCTGCAGCAAAACAGCCCCACAACATGATGCTGCCGCCCCCATACTTCACAGTTGGGATGGTGTTCCTAGGCTTGTAAGCTTTCCCCTTTGTCCTCCAAATGTAACACTGGTCATTATGGCCAAACAGTTCAATCTTAGTTCTATCAGACCACATGACATGTGTCCAAAAAATATTCTTTTTCCCAGTGTAATTTAGCAAGTTGTAATCTGGCTTTTTTGTTGATTCTGGCTTGTTGATTTTTCCATGTTGTCAAACAAGGAAGCAGTGTGCTTGAGGTTTTCCTTAAATACTATTCTACAGTTGTGCCTGCAATTAACTCAAATGTTGTCAATTAGCCAATCAGAAACTTCCAAAACCTTGACACCATCATCTGAGCTTTTTCTGAGGCAGAATAATCTTATTGTATGTAAACTTGACTTTCAAGAAAAGTTATAACAATTTCTCAAAAAAAATATCTGTCATTATTCTGCTATTAAGCATAATAGAAACAAATTTGAAAATCCTAACTTGCCTAAAAGAGAAAAAGTTTAGTCACATTACCATCTGACTTTTTTTTTTTTAAATGGTTATGTGCCTTTTATACAGTGTATGTAAACTTCTGGTTTCAGCTGTAAATATTTCAATACAAGTTTAACTAAAAAAGCAGATAATTATTTTTTTAAACAGCGATAATATATTAGTTAAGATTAGTTGTTTAAGCATGGACTATATTATTAAGCACCTTTTTGTTAATAGTTGACAGCTAAAATTGCACAAAATTATTGATGTAATATTTAAATTTGATTACATTTGTAGTAAAAAAGCTAAGATTCATTATTTTTCGCACAGGAATTAATATATTGCATTTTTATACACTACCTGACAAAAGTCTTGTTGTCGATCCCAGTTGTAAGAGCAACAAATAATAACTTGACTTCTAGTTTTCCTAGTTTGAAAAACTGGCAGAAGATAGATTTTTCTGATGAATCATCTGGTGAACTGCATCCCAGTCATTACAAATTCTGCAGAAGATCTACTGGTGCCGGCATGAACCCAAGAGTCTGACAGAAATCAGTCAAGTTTGGCGAAAAAAAATCATGGTTTGGGGTTACATTCAGTATGGGGTCATGCGAGAGATCTGCAGAGTGGATGGCAACGTCAACGGCCTGAGGTATCAAGACATTTGTGCAGCCCATTACATTACAAACCACAGAAGAGGGCAAATTCTTCTGTAGTATAGCGCTCCTTCTCATACTTCAGCCTCTGCATCAAAGGTCCTGAAAGCAAAAAAGGTCAATGTGCTCCAGGATAGGCCAGCCCATTCACCAGAGACAAACATTATTGAGCATGTCTGGGGTAAGATGAAGCAGGAGGCATTGAAGATGAATCCAAAGAACCTTGATAAACTCTGGGAGTCCTGCAAGAAGACTTTCTTTCCCATTCCAGATCACTTTATTCATAAGTTATTTGAGTCATTGCAGAGATGTATGAATCCAGTTGTCCAAGCTCATGGGAGTCATACACAAAATAAATTATTTTCCCACTGCAGCATGACTTTATATTCTATACTGTATATTATTTCTGTTAGTGACAAGACTGTTGTCTAAGCAAAGTCAGACCTTTCTGTCCTAATTAAATAATTAAGAATCAAGGCATTATCATATTTTATTTTGTCAAATAAGCGTAATCTAGAGGCTTTTGCCCTTTATAAAAGCCACTTCTGGTACCAAATGATCAACTACAAGTCAAGTATTTGCTATTCCTAAAAGGCGACAAGACTTTTGTCAGGTAGTGTAGTTTCTAAAAGCCACAATAATTCACAACGTTGTTTTCAGTTATTCATAGAATTTCTTTTTATTTCTTTAATTTACTTTTTTAATTAAATCTCCAAAGATTAACTTTTTTAAAGCAGCAGTACTACTTAAAAATACTCTAAAAAGATTAAAATATGAAGCATATTTGTTTGAATAAAAAATAATTGTTATAATTGATTGAACTGTTAACAGTGTAATATGTATAGCATTGTGTATAATAAGGAATCTGCAGAGCTCTGCAAGGCCTAGTAATAACCTTCCCCAAACTTTCTGAATTTTTCTCCCCAAAGATTGTATATGTAGGTTAGGAATTTTTTTCCCTTTTGTTTCAGCAGCAACAGCACTTGGGCAAAAATAGCATAATAGCAGTACATGAAAAGCCTCACAGATTGAACAAGGAAGAACAAGATGGTGAGAACATGAATACTGTCACAGAAACACTAAGAAGGCACTCACGTAAGAAGTACTCTGAGGCATCTGCTTCATAATCTGTGTCTTCTGGAAAGTGATCTATCTGCTTACACAATCCTTTGAAGTTTCCTGTAAGAGAAACACAGTTGCACAGTTAGGACTGTGAATTCCAGCATCCCATTTCCACATTCTCGAAAAAGACATTGTAAATGACATGCTTTTTCAAAGGCCACCGAGGGAAATGGTCTGACGTTTAAGCTAAATACATACAGTTAAAGTCAGAATTATTAACACCCCCCCCCCTTTATTTATTTAATATTTTGTTAAATATTTCCTAAATGATTTTTATGTCTGATAATATTTTTCTTCCAGAGAAAGTCTTATTTGTTTTATGTCAGCTAGAATAAAAGCAGTTTTAATTTTTTAAAAAACATTTTACGGTCAAAATTATTAGCCCCTTTAAGCTTTTTTATTTTTCGATAATTGACAGAACAAACCATCATTATACAATAACTTGCCTAATTACCCTAACCTGATTAACCTAATTAACCTAGTTAAGTCTTTAAATGTCACTTTAAGCTGAATAGAAGTGCCTTGAAAAATATTTAGTAAAATATAATTTACTGTCATCATGGCAAAGATAAAAAAAATAAGTTATTAGAAATTAGTAATTAAAATCTTCGTTAAAGAGAAATTAGGGGGAAAAAATAAACAGAGGAGCTAACAATTCAAGCCAAGGAGGCTAATAATTCTGAATTAACTGTACTTCAGTTTTTATATGTATGCATATACAGTATGTATTTGCCTCAGATGCCATTCTAAGTGTCTTATCCGTAAGACACCAAAAAAATTAATAAATAAATAAAATAAAAATGAAATAACTGGGTCATCTCATTGGTTGAATCAACTAAAGAGAAACAAAAAATAGGAAACATTGGTTTCATTGGTGCCTCCAAATGTGAAATTTAACAAGCAAGGCAAACAATTTTGGAGGATTCGATGTTTCCCCACCAATGTCAACAGCAAATATACTCCATTGGTTTCAAAGGTGCCCACCGAGTGAAATGACTTGCCTTAAAGGGACTTTGATTGGCTATTGAAAGCTGTGATGTAAGTTGGTTTGGATAAAAGTGTCTGCTAATTGAATAAAGTGTAAAATGATGGTGTCCAGACCTTATGGACGCATGCAGTCCAACAGTCTTCCATATGTAGTTTGAACATTCTTGTTCACTAGTTAGTTTTACCATAAGACGTGGCACACTTTGAAGGAACAAAGAAAATGATATAAGAAGAACAAACTAAATACTGTAGATGACAAGAACATTTTTTTTTACACAAAGTAAAAGGTCATCCACAATTCTAGTTTAAATGAGTAATTGGGGAGGAAAGGATCTTTGTAGTGAACATGTTTTGAGTGCTTATCATGGCAAAGCACTAACAAATGGATTATAGTTTGAACAAGAAACATTTACAAACACTGTGAACCATTACAATAAGCAGTGTGTTATTTTGTGAACACATACATTTTATTATAGCACCAGAAAACGTATAAAGAAAAAAAAAACTGTCAGGAAATCAAATAGAATGGTATTACGAGGAATATATTGCATGGCGCTAAAGTAAACCTGCCTTCAGTTCAGTGTTCAGTTTCAGCTGGAAATATGTCACAGTACTGCAGCTAATATGAACTTCTGGTTTACACTGACTTTCAATGCAGTCACACATCATAGCATATCATGAATCCGGGGGTGCCCCATGTGAGCTGCAAGTCTGAGGCTCCCCTCTATAAAAATAGCGGTCTGAGAGGTTCCTCTTGGTGGGAATCACTCTGCATTCCTTGAGTAATTCAGACAAGAAAACACATTCCCTTTGGTAGAAATTGCATTCAGGGCAGGGGTGAATAAGTTCTGGCAAAAGGGAGACAAAGTGCTTCGAGGCCAGGGGCTTGGAATGTCCTACTGTGAAGTCTGAGGGGGGAGACCCAAAACAAGAGTTTTGCAGATAGTTTGTCATTTGAATGTGTTTTTAAGGCCTGTAACTATGTGAGCATTTCAAGGCAATTTAAAGCATTTGTGCACAGTATTTCTTTCACGAAGTTTTACAAAAGGTTTAAAATGTATTTTGTACCTGAATAATGTTTGACTCGACAGAAAAACTGAATTCCTAACACTGGCAGTGATCAGGGACAAGCTTTGCTCTTTGTACACTAGTCACAAATGTGAAAAAAAAGCAGATCACTGCCTCTCTTAAAAAGTCATGGCAACTATCAGATAGGGCTGCACGATTCTGGCTAAAATGAGAATCACAATTTTTTTTTTTTTTGCTTAAAATCAAGATCCTGATCTTCTTCTGATTCTGTAGATCAGGCATGTCCAAACTCTGTCCTGGACGGCCGGTGTCCTGCAAAGTTTAGTTCCAACCGCAATCAGACACACCTAGGCTAGCTAATCAAGCTCTTACTAGGCTTTCTAGAATCCTTGCAGGCAAGTTGGAGCAAAAATCTGCAGGACATCTGCCTTCCAGGACCGAGTTTGGACACCCCTGCTGTAGATGTAAAATAAAGGTCTATATGAGTAAACTGTTATTATTGTTAATTCTTAAACATGGTAAAAGAACAATATAATATTAGGCCTATGTGTAGGTCTACTGTTTAAAATGCACAATTTTGTATAGACTTGGAATGGTGGACTTGAACATTAATTATTTAACTATGTCCTTGTTGTTAATTCACAGTAAATTGATGGCATCAGAAAACAACTATTCATAATTCTCAAGTTGAATTATTATGTTTGAGCCATATGCTTGTCTCATTTTTTCATTGCTAAAATGAGTCATTTGTCATTATCAGAATCCCTCTTGCATTATATTTAACATTATATAGTAGGGATGTGACGAGATCTTGGGCTACGAGATCTCGCGAGACTAAATCGCAACAAGATTTCTCGTTGAGGTGAAAATTTGTCTCGTGAGTTGTGAGGTTATGATGGAGCGTGAGGGTGAATTTAGCACTGAAGATAGGAGGAGGCAGGATTGGATTTGAACTGCACATCAAGTGCTTTGCACTCACCTGGCAACCCGGGCTGCCTTTGTGTTGCAAGTCACTAGTTTGCTTGTTTTGCATTTTGTGATTTTTTTTTTTTCAGTTAAATAAAAATTCATTTTCAATTTTTTTATTAGCTAATATTTTGCTAACATGTAAAATCATATATGAATACTATTTTCCATTCATATATTAGCAAATTTACTGCATAGTAATGCAACTTAAAATAAAACTAAAATAACATTTATTACAAGTTGATTTAAAAAAAGCAACAAAATAGTTTTTCGTTTTTTTCTGTGTTTCAGTTGAATAAATGCTATTTTCCATTTAGATATTTCATCATTAAAGATTTCTTAAAAATAGTGTCAAAATTTCATCTCGTCTCTTCTCATGAACCCAATTTCATGTCTCATCTTGTCTCATGGAGTAAGCATACTGTAACCTATTAAATAAGCTAGAGTAGTTATACTGATCAACAACATTTATTTTTATGCACAACACTTTGTGTTCACTAAAGAACAAATATATAAAATGCTTGTAATCATAATTAAAATGTGATATGATCATATAAATGATGTGCGCGCTTTCAGTTTCACATTCACTGCTGACTTCAGTGTCATGGCTGTTGTCACTTTGAGGAAAAAAACATACATGCAAATCATACTTCCCGGCTCCCAACTGATCACAAGTTATTTGCAACTTTTTTATCTGTTATTTACAGCTTATACATATTCTTTTCACCAAAATAAACATCATAGGTGGGCATGTGCACGTCCTCTCGGTAGAAAGCAAACAGTGCGTCAGCTCATGCGTGATTTTGCGGCCGCATATACATCATTACATGAAGACAGAAATTCCATTTTGGTGTAAATTAAATCTTGTAAAACAGTATGACACACTTTTAACACCATTTGAAGCGGTTCATGTTGCTGAGCAATGTATATAAAACAATGTGAAGTCTTTTGTGATCAACTTTATGCTTCTTTCCTGACCTTGAAAATATAATTGGCAGAATTCTAGAAACCCAGAATTAAGGTTGTGCATAGGGTCGAATTATGATCGCAACCTTTTTTCGATTATATGTGCAGCTCAACTATCAGGTATCACAAACCAGGAGCACCTTGTTCATTTCAAAGTAGCATCCGGATAGTCTAATGACCATATATGCAGAATTTCACTTCAATAATAAACAAAGAGGCATGCAAACCACCTCCCACCAACCCTTTAGGCCAACTGTCCCATATATGACCCCTTTAAGATCCTGTGCACACATTCTCAGGTTGGACTCGACTGCTCAAGCGCGCCCGAGGATGCAGCCTTCAAGCCTGAGTTTGGGAGCCGAGGCCTGTGGTGTGGCCACTCCAGCAGCAGGCGGTGGCATGTAAACAAGAGAAGCACAGCTGGTGAAGACCTGGAGCTGCTCCAACCACTGTGCAATGGGAAGCTCATCTCCTAATGTTCATTCATTAAGCGTACTGCCATTCTAGCATTCTAGTTCAGGCACTTCTTGGGCCGCTCAGCAAGGAAACTGCCATCCTCTGCCACTGCTCTGGCCCGTAGTGTAAACAGGTCAGTCAAGGTGAACTGGAGATGTGGGCCTGCAAACAGCAGCGATTACCGCAGCCTTTGATGTGTGTGGACATAAACAACGGGCATGGCACCAGGAGCGCAGTGCCAAGCTTATGAAGTTGTTCATCCCTCCCCCCGTTACCTCCTCGCTCTCCCTCCTTCATCTCCCGCTCTCTCTTTTCCGTCCTCCCATGTGTTTCTCTAATGATTTAATCAGCTTTTTTCTTTTTCTTCATGGTGCCAGGTGTTGCTGGGGATATTTTGGCTGCGAGGCAGAACATTAGTGGCGTGCTTGTGGAGATGAGATGAGAGCAGAGGCCTATCAAAGACGCTTTCATGTAGGAGACAGATTTACACTAGTCTCTCCACTCCATACAGTCTGTTCCACTAGGCTTTCTGGTCAGAAAGAAAGACAGCAGACAAGCTGAGCCTTCTGCTTTCACAGGGTTCGTCTATTAGGGGTCCTTTTTTGGCCGTCATTGTTGGGTTTTAAGAACATAGAATAATGTGTTTTAAAGTA